AGAGCCGGATTGCCCTCGGGGAACCAGCAGTCTCAATCACTTGACAGACGCCGCACTCCAGTGGACTGCTACTCCTGCCATGAGAGCTTCCAGGGTGCAGATAAAAAAAGATTTTGTAGTAATTGTGCGTGAGGTATGTGATGTAAAGGAGTGATGCTATAAATAGGTAACGGCTGCAAACGAGGGATGTGGGTAGTGATTGAGACTTGTACTAGTCACACTCTAGAAACACCTCGTCCCAGCAGTTGTGTAGTCTCCGTTTGAATTGCAGAGCACTATTTGCTGCTACTACTGTAGATGGAAGCCTGTTCCATGTGTTTACCACGCGGTGGGAGAAAAATTGTGCCCTGGCACTTCCGTCGGCCCGCGATTTCATCAGCATCAGGACATGTCCTCTGGGGTTTGGATTGAGATTTGGTGTAAACAAGGATCTATCTGCTGTTGACAGTCCTTTGAACTGTTTGAACGTCTTAATCAAGTCCCGCTTCAGGCGACGGTGGTGCAATGAGAATAAGTTGAGGGCCGCAAGACTTTCTTTGTTTGACTTTCCCTGCAGTCCACTGATCATCCGGGTGAAACTACTTTGCGCTGCCTCCAGCTGTTGTTTATCCCTAACCAGGGGAGGGGCCCACACCTGGACACAGTATTCCTGATGTGGTCACACAAACGCCTCATAAGATGACAAGATTACTTTAGCCTCCTTCGATACTGCCGTTCTGCAGAGTTGAAATAGGGCTCCATTAGCCTTCGCTGCGGCTGCCGCGTATTGCATTGAGGGCTTTAAATATGAGTGTATTGGCACCCCTGGATCCCTGACTAAATCTGCAGGTTCTATGGTGTTCGTCGACCCAACGCCTAGTTGACGCACCTCCGCTGCCCCTCTGTTCAGTAGCAGGTGCCTGCATATGCTGGTGTTGAGTGGTGGTTCCCGTGAGTCCGCCTAGTCATTGATTGCGTTGAGTGCGGCTCGTAAATCCCCCACTAAGGGATTCCCTACTACTTTGAGGTCATCTGCGAATAGGAACCCAGGACACCGGAAGACCTCGGTGACGTCATTTACATACAGCATAAATAGTATGGGACCAAGGAATGAGCCTTGAGATACCCCACTACAGGCTGCTGCCGTCTCCAAGGTTTCCTGTTCCACACTTACGCGGAATGTCCTCCAGTGTAGGTACGCTTTGATCTACCTGACTAACTGCTGATATCCCGCAGGGCTTCCAGTTTGCGCAAGAGGAACCTGTGGTTGACCGAGTCAAAGGCTTTCCTGTAATCAAGGCAGCAAACTTCGACTCAATCCCCTGCGTCCACCCTGTCTGTTAACTCCTCTATAAATGATAGGGGGTTAGTGAGACACGACTTTCTGTTGAAAAAGCCGTGTTGTTGGCCAGCTATGAGATGTTAGTCATCCCAATATCCCACCAACCTCTCCCAAAGGAGAGGCTCGAAGGTTTTAAGGACTACCGAAAGCAGGCTTACTGGATGATAGCTCGATGCAGCCACCTTTGATCCACCCCTGTGGATTGGCACCACTTCTGCCGTGATCCAGTCGGCCAGCAGCGTTGCTGGGCAAGAGATCGGTTGTAAAGCTGACTAGACGCACCTGCAATAATGTCAGCAATGGGCCGCAGTATCCCTGGATGCATCCGATCCGGGCCCGCGGCCTTGTTCTGATCTAGCTGCTTCAGTGCTTCTTCTACCTCCTTGGCCTCTAAGACAAACGGAGCCATGTGCTGTTTAGGGAGCCAACGCAGTAGAGCAGGCAACAGCTTTCCCAAGTCCGGTATGTGGACTTTCTCGAAGAAGCTCCTTATAACTTCAGTCTTCTCCTTGCTGGTGGCCGCACTAACACCATCCGCATTTACTACATTACCAACCGCTACCCGAGAGTGGGCCTTAGACTGCACATAGTTGTAGTAGGCTTTTGGTCTCCGGTTGGCATTGCGAGCAATCCTACTCTCATAATCCCTTAGACAGTGTCTCTGAATCGTAAGTGCCCTTTCTCTCACTGACCGATAACACAGATGCTGACGACGGCCACCCTGATGCTGAGGCATTTCCATGGCCTCCCCTTTATGGCTTGCGCCCTACCTACCTTTTATACCCACGAAGGAGGCCGATCTCCTCTTCTGACCCTTCTTCGGGGAGTGAAGACGTCCGAGAGCCGTCTGATGCTGTCTTTCAATAACTGCCACTCCTGCTCTACGGAGAGGATGCCGTCTGTTGACCACTGGATTGCCTCTGCTGCTTGCCTGGGCCCCGGTACATCCAGCTTCCTATAGTCCCTCCTGAGCTTGTATGGAACCGGGGGAGGGTTTCCCATGATGTGGAACCTAGTTACTCCATGGTAACTTCGCCGGGGGCGCAGAAACCCCGAGCTGTTTCACATCATGCGGCATCTTGGTCAGAACTAGGTCCAATATACTACGATTTGTCCCTCCCGCCATCTAGTGAGTTGGTTGAAATACTGCACCAAGGGTTGCACTGTCATCAGGCCCAGTATTTTTCTACCAAAACCAGAGTGAGGGGCCCACAGTCTTTCCCAGTCTACCTCCAGAGAGGTGAAATGTCCCATGATGACCATCCGCTCCGCATGATAGCTTACCCTGGTGAGACATTCGCACAGTTGGCCATCCTCCTTCTCGTCTGAGAGTAGTGCCCTGTAGACACCCACTACCGTCACTGTACAGTTCGGGGATTGTATGTTGCATGAACGAGCCTGGATATTCGGCGTGTACATGTGTTCGCCCTCGGTCTGATCTAGGGTGTCCGAAACAAGCAGCAATATGCCACTTTCACCCCTAACGTCTTCGCTGTCGGAATCGTACGCGCAGTACCCGTTGAGTTGCAGGATCTCCGTTGTGCTGGCCTCGTGTAACCAGGTCTCGGCAATCACAATACAGTCCGTTCCTATGGTTTCAGCCCTTTGTTCTCTCCACTTGTTGCCTGGGCTGCAGGCGTTCGTGTAGAATGCCGATAACCCTCAGCCCACGCTTCCTCCTAGCACTGGTGCCACTAGTGTCTTAAGCACACTCGGGCAACCCTCCCAAGTGCTCTCTTCATTTTTTGTCACTAGCATGCTCTTGGTCCTCGGTTGCTGAGGTGCCGCGGAGGGGATGATGGTTACACTAGACCCAGGAGCCACCGTAGCCCATAATTCCTTATCAGTCTCCAACTGAGTGGGTACATCCTCCGGCCTGTCCTTTCGAGCAGATATGGTCATTATAATTCGTCCTACCGGGGTGGGCTCTGGGCCTTCTTCGTTACGTTTGTGTCCTGTGTGTGGTAGTGTTAATGTGGCGCAGCCAGACATGGTAGTGAATGTAGTACGTTGATCGAGGGGGTGTGGTACGTCAGTTAGTCCAGTTCCTTACAGTGGTTGGCTCCAGGGCTCTCCCGATGCTGCGACAGATGGAAGAGGGAGATGACTCTTCTTCAATTTCGGTATCATAAACTTCAGGAGAGTTGGGTGTTGACCTTCCACTTTCGCGCCACATTCAGGTCACGCCTTATGGATCAGGGCAGCAGACCCTGACATCGGTATCGACCGAGCTACAACTCCGGCCGAAAAGATTGGGTAATTCTACTGGTAAAGTTAGTGATCGAGTAATGATGACGGGATAAGAATATGGTACGGGGAATAATGAATAAAAGATAATGGTAATGGATGAAGAGGGAAAGATTAGATGAGAGAAGGTCGGGGAGGAAGAGGTGGAGCAGTGTGCGGAGAAGGAGGGAGTGGAGCTGCTGGACAATCACGTTGCTCAGGCGGCTTCTTAGGTGAAAAGAACTTGCCATACAGAATCCAGGTGGGTCTTAAATCTCTGCACCGAACTGGAATCGACTACTTCATTGGGTAATCTGTTTCAGTCGTTCACCACGTTTACGATCGCACCCTTATGCGGGTGGATACCCTGACCTTGGCTGACTTAAGGTCATTTCCCCTTAACGTTGGGTTCTCGCTGGGAGGTAGTAGTAGTCTCCCTTCTTCCACAGTGAGAAAAGCTCGATCCTCTCTAGCCTGTTCTCAAATATAAGGTTCCTTATTCCTGGGAATCATCTAGTAAAGAACCGCTGCATTTTCTCGAGTACTTTTATATCCCTAACTATATATGGACTCCTGGCCTGGACACGGTACTTCAGATGAGGGCGCACAATCGTAGTATAACCTCCGGCCTTCTGGAGCTCACTGCTCTCTCCAGCTGATAGATAGCTCCTAGTGCCATTCTTGCCGCTTGTCGGCACTTTTTACTTGGTTTGAAGCCAGCCTGAACCCTAATACCAAGACCCTTGGTTTCCTTCACTACATCGAGTTCATCTCCGTTGCCTGGTGGGTCGAGATATCTACCCTGCCTTTCTTCCTGCTGATCGATGAGTCTTTGGCATTTGACGATATTTAGCGGCAAATCCCATGGCACAGACCATTCATCGACCTTGATCAGATCCCTCTGGATGGTCTCAGATGTGGGGTTAGCTATCAGCTTTACATCATCAGCGTACAGGAGACGGATTCTCCACGCCCTCCACCGAACCACTGATATCCAGTAGTAACAGTAGCGGACCCAGCACCGACCGCTGTGGGACCCCACTACGAAGTTCCCCTTTGTGGATAACTTCCCCTTTTATCTTCACCTGGAAGCTCCGACCATTTAGACAACTGCATATCCACCTTCCCACCTTTGAAGTCAACCCAAAACGTCAAAGCTTCATCATCATTAACCTGTGGTTGACCGAGTCAAAGGCCTTTTGAAAGTCTAGGTAGCAGAATTCCACCCTCTCTCCCTGGTCAATCGTATGCGTTACCTCGTCAAGGAAACACAACAAGTTGATGAGGCACGGGCGTTTCCTCATGAAGCCGTGCTGATGTGCGGTCAACAGCTTGGTTGTTTCTAAGTGTGTGAGTATTTTATCCCGTGTTATTCGCTCCATGGTTTTTAATACCACCGAAGTCAAATTGACGGGTAGGTAATTTGCGCAGTTCTCTCTGTTTCCCCCTTTGTAGATTGGAGTGACAGTTGACATTAAACAGTCACTAGGGAGTCGTCCTCCCTTCAGTGGTGCATTGAACAGTCGTGCAAGCGGTTCTGCAAGCACGCTCAATACCGCTGGAAGCAGCTGGTCTGGATGCGGGCTCTTAGATGCCACCAGTCTCAATAGGTACTCGTCTACGTTCCGTGGTTCTAGGTACTCCTCTGGCTTGACCAGCTGCGTGCAATATCCGACGAACCTACCTGGGGCACCTGAATTCCTTCTATAGATGGCCTGATAGAATTTTCCACGTGGTTTGCCCTTTTCTATTAAATCCTTGTCATTCTTAGGTGTTCGTTTATCGTCAGGTTGTATAACATTTATCCTTGACCATTTTTAACTGCGTTACACCACTTCTGGTGATTAACAAGTTGTCGCTTTTAGCTTTTATTGTGAATTTTGTCTTAGCATCGTATATACCTGGTCGTACCATGCCACTTCCCGCTGTAGGACGCCAAAAGAGCCAAGCCGCCAGACGTGTACCGAAATCGCGTCTGTCTTCCACCTCGCTTAGTTGCTCCGTCCCTCTTGTTGACGTTTTTAATGACGCCTATAAAATAAGCTCAAAAATCGGTCAGAGCATCTCCGGCGTCCACAGTAGACTCGAGTCTCTTGAAACTGTCATTTCAACTTTAGCTCCATTCGTCTTTCTGATAGATCCCTCATCCCAGCCAATGACCAACCTCGTTCAATCGGGTTTGATGTTGGATTCTATT